CCCCCCCGATTTTGTTTAATTTTTATTTCTGCTGTAGAGTGGATTCCATATTTTAGATTCAAGGCTGCCCATCCAGGTATTTCAAACCAGCTTGTCACCTGGAGAATTGATAACTGGCATACCCTCACTTTAGTGCTGCTAAATGGTTTTTCTTCTCAACGGTATAATTATATTGTGGCTTAGAACTTCAGAAATTGGATTGTGGTTGCAGAAAGTGTGTTTCAAAACTCTAATTTAAGCTATATTATATAGGAAAAAAACTCCCAGCAAACCAGACCACCACCATTGTTTTATCTAACACTCCCAATTTGCTACAAATTAGGATATTTTCGACCTAGTCTCTGCTTAAAAAGAGAGAAGCTGCCACTGCTTCTTGGCCCCTTGCCCTCTCTTTAACAACAGAGCTAACGCGGAACCTGCTGTATCGAACCTTGGCAAAATCCAGCTCTCAGCGGGTGGGCCTGGATACTTACTTGAAATGTTGGATTTCATCCCCGCCAAATGTTTTATAAGGATTTTACCTTTAAGATAATTGATTTTTGGCTTTTGACCGACTGCTCAAGAGCAGTCTTCTGTGATAGTTGGGTAAGAGGGTGTGTAAGGGAGCACTGTTGTATCGGATGCGCAGCCCTGTGGACTGCTTGCATGGTGCTCGTACCTGCAGGTTGAAGGCAGCATGTGAGATGTTTGCGTGCAATCCACTGGCCTTGGGCGATCTCCACAGCCCAGGCCATAGACGATTGAGGATTGAAGCAGGGCTGTTCTGGGCTTGATGCAGTGCCAGCCGTAGGGTGGTTGACTGAGCTGGCAGAAAAGAGAAGTCTCAAACTCGGGGGTTGAATATGGTCTCCAGCTGATAAGGAGCAAAAAGATGTCTAGATTTATGAAACCATCCTTTTCTTCTGAAAGAAAGCTGAGGAGTGTTAGAGGTAAAATCTTAAGATATCAAATGTTCCTGTACTGCCCAAACTGGCCAGGAAGAAAGTGCTTTATCAGGGAGGTGGAGACTTTCCTTCTAGTGTGCACGCACTTTTTAAAAAAAAAAGAATAAAGAATCTGACAATGTACTTGGAGTGAATAATACTGGTTTTACTTTGAGACCCTGAATACCCGTTTACCTCTTTGTCTCTTATTTTTCAGGCTGGACGCAAAGAAAGAAGTGATGCACTGAACTCTGCAATTGATAAAATGACCAAAAAGACCAGAGACTTGCGTAGACAGGTAATTAATATATGAAGTTGATACTTGCTGAGACAAATGAGTGCATTCTTGCATGTTTACCCTCTTGGAAATTCGTTATCTGTTGGTTTGTTTCCAGTGGGCAGTGGGCTTGCCTGCTTGTATTTAGTGAATTAAAAGCTAGAAGCTTCCAGTGCCTGGTTCACAGGGAAGCATGGGGTGGAAATGTAATCCCCTGTTAACTGTGTAATAAAGATGTTGGATTTTTAATCATCCGTGTGGCAAGAGAGATTTAAAAAAAAAAGCCACCTCACATTTTATGGATTTTGAACATAATCAGGTATGTTTTATAATTCTGATGGTATTCATCTCGGAGAGCTTATTTTCTTTGAGGACTGTATTTATGTAGCATCAGTTTTTTGTCTGTTTATTTTTTACAGCAATATATTCTCCTTTTCAAGTAAATGTGAATATGGATTAAGTTTGTTGAAAAATATTTTTATTCTAGTAGAAAAATAAAGTTAAATCAGCATGTTGTTTAATCAGCTGAGGGAAAGCAGCAAATTTACTCAGACAAAACCAATATGAGCTGCTAAATCAATATTTGTGGCCAAACTGGTGACTTGCACTTATATAAGTAGTCCAGTTTTTTAAGGGAGATTTAATTTAAATTGAAGCAAAAAGTGTATAGACAAGACTTAGTACAGGGAAAGCCTTGACCACACAAAGGAAAACGGATCAACGACAAAAGTACTTAAGCTTTACGTATTAATACAGTGAAAGGAAAACAGCAGTGGAACACTACTGAAAAATTTCTCATTCTTTTATTTTTATTTTAGCTCCGCAAAGCTGTTATGGACCATGTATCAGACTCTTTTCTGGAAACAAATGTTCCACTTTTAGTATTGATTGAAGCTGCCAAGAATGGGAACGAAAAAGAAGTTAAAGAATATGCCCAGGTTTTCCGTGAACATGCCAACAAATTGATTGAGGTAAGATGGTACAAATTAAAATTAAATTATCACTAGTTAAACTAAGGCAAGACTATGCAAAACACATTTTTCAATTCTGTTGAAACAAATAGCAAATTCTGTAATAAATTTGCTTCTTAAATTTTATTTTAAGGAATTTAAATACAATTTAATTCAATATTTAAATAATGAAAAATGTAAACTTATCAAAAAGCAGCAGCTACTGTTACATAACCCATGTAGTTTTAGATATTATGCAACGTGAGTATATTATGCTGTTACCTTTACTTGATTTGTTAATTGGAGATGGTGATATAGAGTAAGGGAGACTGTGGCATGACTGTCCTGCTGTACAATTTGACCTGTTGCTTCAAGCCTGGGTTTTTTTTCTTTTCAGTAAAATACCAGTGAATATAAACAGACCTTTTATATGAAGACTTTTAGAATGAAAACCTGCTTGCGTGCGTAAAAAGCAAACAACGGACAAACAGAAAACTTGCAATAACAGCAAAACTGATCCCTGCCACCTTTTTCTAATAAAAACCCAAAGGCTCTCAAACTGATGTTACTCCAGACTAAAGCTAATCTGTGGGAAGGTCAGCTTAAATGGGACCGACCTGTCTTAACCAAAGTGCATTAAAGATCATTAGTCTACTATTAAATGTAAAAGCTTTCCAATAGGTAGCACATTTACAAAGAGCAACAGAAGTTCATACCCTGTATTCATAGATGCATCTTGGTAACCTTGTCCTCTTGCCATTGTTTTCGCATGAGAGCTTTGTGCCTGCTGATGCTAAATGCCAAGGAGCAAACATCTATAGGTATTGTTGAAGAAACATGCCACTAAGAATAAACTTCAAAAAACTCCTCCTGTGCACTTCTGTACACTTTGAGGCATCAGCTGGCTCGTGCGCTTAACCTCAGCAGCTACCTGGGAACAGTCAGATACCGGTTAATGTGTTTTTGCTCTCTTGGTGTCACTGTGTTTGATAATTGAGTCCATGTGTCTCCTGGGCTCATCAGGAATACTTTCAACACAACTTGACAGATTTAAATTACTCCAGAATAAGACTTACTGAACATCAGTAAAAGCAGTTTCTGACTCTTACTCGATATATTTTTCTCACTTTTTTTAAAGTCTTAGGGGCTCTGAGCGTGGTGCGCAACTGCCCCATAGTCTGGGGTGCGTCAAGCTAGTCCAGTTCTTCAGAGTTGCTGTCTAAGCAATGAAAATCTTTAATTCTTCAAAGGTATCCATTCTTCACTTTTGGCCTGCTGCGTTTCAGTGTAAATGCTATCTTCACGTAGTTTCAAAGTTATTTTATTCTAAATTTTAAGTAACTAACATTCTTCAACAGAACAGCAGGCGGAAGACAGTGCTGCTGTGCCCCTGCCTTGGCAGCAGGATACGGCTGTGCCGCGTGCAGTGGTGGGAACACTTTGAAGAGGGTTTTGTCTAAAGCTTCCCTTCTTCGTGTTGCAAGCCTAATATATCTAGAAAATTATTTTTAGGGCTTGTTTATAGTTGACTGGCATAACAATAGCAGTGCCTATTCTGCCATAGTTCTGCCACCTCTTCAGTGGATGTGTGGTGTCCACACACGGAGTTTATTGGCATAATTACAAAGGAGTAATTGCACTGCTCTGTCCACGAGCTTCCCTCCCGTCCTTGCTAGGTGAGTCCTTCAGAATACATGTGCCATCTGAAAAGCAATGGGTGGCTGTCCTCACTGGCATGTAAGAGTAGTTTTTACTGACCTTACCTTGTGTGCAAAATGCCAAGCTGCAAATGAGTTTTACAGAACCTCTGTTCAGCCAGTCTCTCTGTCAAGAAAGACTATTCCACTGAAAGTATGCATTAAACAATATTTCTGACTGGCATCAAAAGGTTCTGCTAAAATGATACGCTGCTGCAACAACTTTTTGAAGGCTTGCTTATTGCTTTTGCTGTCTAAAATGTAACTATAGCTATAGAGTAGCATGGTCTTAGATGACTTACAAACCTCTTCCATGAATGTAGATGGATTAATATATATGCTTAGCTTCGACAGAAGGGGAATAGTACTCCTGCAGCGCCCTTGTCTCGAGGGGATAGAGAGCCACTGCAGAGTCGTATGCGATGTCAAATTTACTGTGAAGGAAGACAGGTCAGGGTGGGTTGCACTTACAATGTCTCGGTGTATCTCTGCCGGAATGGAGAAGGATGTTTTCAAGTTCCCATATGATTCTGCTCTTGGGCAGAAAACTCAGCTGCAGGTATCCGGAGAAACAATAAAAGATTGTGTAAGAGCAGAACAGAAGATCTTCCACTTGGTGAGATGAGAAGTGATTGCTTCCACCTGTTTTCAGTGAAAGATAAGTGTGCTGGCGAGTTTATCATCACTACCCTCAGAAATGCTGCTGAGTGACTCAAGACATCAAATGTGACAAAACAGCTGCAGTGCAGAATGGAGCTGTGCTGTGTATCACGCCGTGATTGACAGACTCCTGTGGTTTAGATGCAGAAGAGAACATGTCCTTTCCTTTAATGCTGAGCGATGGGAAGAAACGGACGTAAGAGACCTGCTCTGCCCTAGGTAACTCGACAGATTCCCATCTGAATTAGTGAGGAGTTTTACACCTTGGATTTAGTACCCCTTTGTCCTGTGACCTGGAGGAGTCAGTGCTGCTTTCCTGGTGAACCAGCCACTAGAGTGGACTGTGATTTTTTTTTTTTCTTTTTTTTTTCTTTTTTTTTGACACTAAACTGTTGCAGGCGTTGGCTAGACAGGAGGAGTGCCATTGCTGCTTCTGCCCTGGGTTAGCACGGGAAGTTCTTTCTCCTGCAGTGCAGAGGTGTTTACGGGCCCTCCAAGTAGCTGTAAAGGGATGCAAGCACATGATTTGGGTAATTTTATTTTGCAACATTCCCTTTGTGGCAGCAGAGCACTGTCTGCTTTGTGGTTCCTAAAGTCCAGACAGCCAAATTTGACCAAAAGGTGCAATAACCACAAAAATCTGATTTGCCTGCTGAGTCTGTATCTTCTAGAGAAACCATACCAAAACCATGTCCCAAAGGGCTTCCATCTATTTTGTTTCTCACGTAGTAAAATACTAATCCCCTTATCCTGTCTTTTGAAAACTGAGTAATGGTAAAAGAGTAAAATGAGATTTGTCTCAGTTGAACAATATGTTTCAAAGATAGCTTTCAAAATTGCTCTGTACTAACAGTCCATTAACTAGCTAGCACTCTACCTGAATTTTGTTAAAGGAATTTAATTCAGGAACTGAGAAGCCAATTTAAATGCAGCACACAAAAATAATGGAAGAGAAAACATTTCAGGAACCAGTGTAAGAAAAAGTTTAAATTCACTTGTGAACTATGGAAGTCTTCCTAATTTACAGATTGTAAAGTACGTACTTGTGTTCCGGTGGTTTTTATGATGGTGGGTAGAGTAACCTTGGCTCTCTAATCTCTAACTTTGCTCTTGAGGAAAGACAGCTTGGCATTGGCATCCCAGATTTAATGTTCCTCCCTAGAAGAAACTAGGCTGTCCTGCAACTTGATGCTCATTTTTAATGATGTCACTTAGCACCTGACTGCACAAAAACTGACTTTTTGTTCGTCCCAGTCTTTGAAGTGTGCTTGTGCACAAGTTGCCTTTGTGCTGCTCCCTGTAGTCACTGCAGTGATACTTCTGGCTATTCTCTGAAAAATGAAAAAGCCGTAAATGTTAAGAAGAAACTTTTGCTACACTATTGAATGCTTTAGAAAAATAAAAATTAGGTTGTCAATTTGTCACTGTTTTATACTGTGTAGTTTTAATGGAAAAGTTTTTCAGACCTTAAGAAATTAGGTAGTTAAAAGGTAGATGAGGACAGAGTCCAGGTTAAAATCTTCCAGTAGCTGTTTGCTTGCTGAAGAATATTTTGGAAAGGGACAGTTTGTAATTCCTTAAAAACAGCGAATAATCTTATCTTATTCTGGAACCCAGTACCCCTATGTCAAATGTTCTTCTCAAATTTTGTTTTTAAGTTTCTTTCTCGGAGAAACTTTGGTAAGACCAGGGAGGCGAAAGCTCTCAGTGATGTTTCATAAGCATCAGTTTTCTTCCAGTGGCTTTAATTTATCTGAAAAGACTGCTCTTTGCCTTTTTTTAATGCACTGGGTTGTATCTTGCATATGGAGAGATGATTTTCTCATCTTCAGTGAAAACCCATGAACAGATGCAGACTGCAAATTTATTTGCTTGGAAAGAATCACATTTAGGCACTTGCAACTCCATAAGCTATCCGTAGCCTCTCCGTGCTGACATTTTCCCCTTCTGTTGCCTTAACTGACTAGCCCGATGTCCTAGAGTAATTCTTCAGACCTCAGTCTAAAAATACCACTTTCCGAAAACCCAAAGCCTTGCACACTTGCAACATTTTTATTGCAATTTATCCTGATTTGCCCATACTTGCAGCCTATATATTCTTCAGAGAGTCTAACAGCTGCAGGTTTTTTACATGTGAAAGGCTTTTAAAAAATCTGAAGTGGGTAAAACATAGCTTGGGTTTAAACTAATAGCTAGCTTTTGGACTTCAGACACAGCAAAGGTTTTGAAAAACTGAGGCTTGCCTATCCTCTGTTCATGAGATATAACTTACCTGGGCATAGCTAGTTACCTTTGTGATAAAGGTATGCAGTTAGTGTTTGTGCATCTTACACATTTATTAAAAATGAAGCATAGAATGGAAGTATCCAGCAGATCTAGAAATAAATCTGGTCTCACAAGATTATCCTTTGTGTCTATTAGCCATCTGATTTCCAAAATTTATACCAAGTTTATAAAACTAGCATCTTTGGAGGTGGGAGTGGACTGGCTTTGCTCATTCTTAAAATATTCTTTTCTTCATGCTTGCCATCAAAGGTATGTATCAGTACTGAAAGACAGAGATGATGTCTCTTGGGTGAAGAGTGCAGACAAGCATACCACTTGACACCCAAATCAAATATTGACTTGGAATGTTTTTCTGAATCTTTGGGTATATTAATCGCT